GCATAGAGCAGCCGCGAACTTGCTCCAATCCAAGACAGGACGTCTAGAACTCCATTTCTCGAACCACTCAGCTGGCCTACGCCCTAAGTGAACTGCCGCCGTATCAACTTTCTCATGCTCATGGATACCGTACAATCTAAACCAGTTCTCAGACAGCCTAACCATTTGTTAGGGTTCTCCCCATTGAAAGGCTGAATTTCCAAAGGCAGGACAGAAGTGGAGTTACCGTAAGCTTGGTCGTGGATTTCAGGTGCAATAATGAAACGTTGGAGAACCGGATCACGAGGGCGATAACAAGTCTTCAACGAACTCACACCTGACGTTGGCGGCAGTGGATTAACTGAACTGGTATTCCTGTTGGAAAAGAAGCTGCAGCAGGAGAAAGAATTGTAGCAGTGGAAACCTTCAGCTCGACATTTCGTCGAGCAGTTGGTGGCCGATTTTCTAGAATCAGAAGTGGGACACTCCGATCCCCGCCTGTCTCCACCGACAGTACAGGCAATGGATTGCCAACCATACCACGACCTCCATCTAATTCTGATGATGTGGGAGCAGATTGTTTGCTGAGGATGCCACAATAGTCAGCGGCAGGTGGAGCAGGAAAGACAGAACGATTGCCGCGGTAGGCCGGAGAGTCTCGAAATTCGATCAAACCATCCTGCATTTCCGTAACCTTTGCCAGAAGTAACTGGATATTGTCGTTGAAGCTAGCATTGAAAGAGTGATGACCTTCAATCGATGAAAGAGACGAAGGCCCCGCCATTGTTGCCGGAAAAAGTGCTCTAATACCAAGTTGTAATGGTTGAGGTCGGGAAAGGCCAGCGAGAAAGTAGTATTGAATTGGAGAGAAGGAGAAGTAATTGAGAAATGAGAAGAGAGACAGAGGTAAGCAGGAGGAAGAAGAAGGGAAGAAGAGATCAGAGAAGTTGAAGAGGAAGGAAGTGTTAAAGCTGAAGAAGAAGTCTTGGCGCGAAGTTGAAATATGTTTGAATGTCTAGTTGTGAAACTGTGTCGTACTGTGGCGTGTTGGTCTTTTTAGTTTTAGTCCCTATATTCTGTCTAGAGTCATTTTGAGTCCAGGTTGAGTTTGTGCAGTTGGCTGCACAGTTAGTGGTAGCTGGTTTGTAGGGATGTAGAGATCATGGTGTGTGAGAGGTGGCCGAGCTTGAAGGCTGAAGCAACTCATGTATTTATAGTCTTTGTTTGTTAATAAAGAAACTGTCAGATTGCACTCCATTGGATTTAACATAGTGGTATCAGAGCACTGTGGCAAGCTGTAACCGAGAGATTTGAGTGAAAAACAACAGAATTCAATTCTGGGTTTGGGAAACACGAGAGACTAGTGAGAAAAGTTGAAACTGGGTTTGGTGAGAGTCACCATGGGTGATAACAGTGGTTTTGCTCAAGACAATGGGTGATGGGGACTATGAGCATTGGAGTTTGATCATGGAGAATTTGTTGAGGTCCAAAGAGTATTGGACAGTTGTGAGAGATGGATTCAAGGAACCAGCAGAGGGAGAGGTGATTTCAGCCTCTCAACAGAAGATCTTGGATGAGAATCGTTTGAAGGATCTGAAGGCGAAGAACTACCTCTTTAGTTCTATCGACAAAAGTATACTGAAAATGATTACAAACAAGACAACTTCAAGAATTTTGTGGATGTCCATGAAGACCAAATGTCAAGGCAATGCAAGGGTACATAAGTCTCAGTTGCAGGCCTTGAGAAGAAACTTTGAACTTCTCGAGATGAAGGAAGGCGAGTCTGTAAATGACTACTTTGGAAGGGTCATGGTGGTAGCCAATGGGATGAGGAACTGTGGTGAAATGATGACAGATGAAAAGATAGTTGAGAAGATCTTGAGAACTCTCACAGAGAGGTTCAATTACATTGTGTGCTCCATTGAAGAGTCAAAAGACATTGAGACTCTGTCTGTTGATTCTCTGCAGAGTTCTTTGCTTGTTCATGAGCAAAAACTCACAAAACAACCAACTGAAGATGATCAGGCCTTAAAAGTCAGTCATGACTTTGGTGGAAGAGCCGAAGAGGAGGAAGAGGACTAGGTAGAGGTGGCTATCAAGGAAGAGGTCGAGGAAGGGGTCGAGCCTGGAGTAGAGACATGGTTGAATGTTTCAAATGTCATAGAAGGGGTCATTTCATCAGGGAATGTCCTGAGTGGAACTATTAGCAGCAAGGTAACTATCAAAACTACCAAAATCAAGCTCACTACTCTAGTTCTTCTCATCATTACTCTAGTTCCTCCCAACAGCCCTCCCATCCAGATATGAAGGAAGATGTGTTATTAATGGCCATTATTGAAGATGAGGATGCTGAGACATCTAAAGAAGCAGACAGTCAGAGTTTGATGGCTTCTCAGGAGGCAGGACAAGGAAAGCAACATGAGGGTTGGTGGTTTCTGGATTCAGGATGTAGTAATCATATGACTGGTGATCAAAAGTGGTTTCTTAAGCTTGATACTGGCTTTAAAAATACTGTAAAGCTTGGAAATGGCAGTAAGCTTGAGGTTCAAGGAAAGGGAAGTGTCAAGCTGCTGGTGGATCAGACTTCTCTGGTGATACAGAATGTGTTTTATGTACCTTGTTTAAACACCAATCTGCTTAGTGTAGGTCAACTACAAGAGAAGGAGCTCAGCTTTGAGATTAGAAATGACATTTGTAAAATCTTTCAAGAGACCAAAGGGCTTCTACTGCAAACAACTATGAAGACAAATCGAATGTTTGTCTTGCATGCTGATTACTCAAAGGACAAACAAAAGGCTGATCAATTGTGTTTACAGGCTGATGCTGATAAGAACTCCACTTTGAATCTCTGGCATAGAAGATATGGGCATCTGAGTGAAAAAGGGCTACTGATGTTGCATCAAAAGGGTCTGGTTCAGGGGCTGCCAAGGTTAACTGGTGAGCTAGGAGTCTGTGGTGTATGTATGATTGGCAAACAAAGCAGAACCAAATTTCCAAAGAAAGGGGCATGGAGAGCTACTCAGCCTCTTCAACTGTTACATGCTGATTTGTGTGGGCCAATTACTCCAGCCTCAAATGGAGGCAAGAGGTATATACTGACTCTTACAGATGATTACAGCAGAAAACTTTGGGTTTATTTTTTAGCAGCTAAGTCCGAAGCACTTTCCTGGTTTAAAAAATTCAAAATTCAAGTGGAGAAGGAAACTGGCAAGTTTGTTACATGCCTTAGAACAAATAGGGGAGGAGAATTTATGTGGACTGAGTTTAGACAAGTCTGTGAAGAAGCTGGAATTAGAAGGCAACTTACTGCTGCCTTAACTCCTCAACAGAATGGAATCGCTGAAAGAAAGAACAGAACCATAACGAATATGGTTAGGTGCTATTTAAAAGACACCAAGGTTCCTGCTCCATTCTGGCCTGAAGCTGTGGAATGGGCAACTCATGTGCTCAACAGGAGTCCAACTTCAGCAAATGAAGGTAAGACTCCCCAAGAACTGTGGACATGAACATCTCCATCTGTGGAACACTTGAGGATTTTTGGGTGTGCAGTGTATGCACATATACATGATAGCCAGAGAAGGAAATTAGATGACAAAAGTGTTAAATGTCAGTTTCTTGGAATTTCTAAAGAGTCCAAAGCCTATAAGCTCTATAACACAGTTACAAAGAAAGTGATTGTTAGTAGAGATGTAGTATTTGATGAAGGGGAAGGCTGGCCAAGAATATCAGAAGATCAATTTGAATCATCTAGGCTAATTTGGGATGGCAGTGAGGAGCTGTGGTTTGAGTCAGATGAAGAAGGAGAAGCTGGGGGAGAAGCAAGTGGTGGTCCAGAAACTTCCAATGCAGGTCATGGAACAGCAACAGAACCTACAAGCCCTCAAACACCTGCAAGTTCCACTGGTTCTGCCTCAGCTCCAGCCCTGCAAAATGAAGAGGAAGAAGAAGTAGAAGAGGAAGAGGTACAGGCTGCTGCATCAGATCTGCCACCAAGTGGAGGAAGTCTTGGTCCTCGAAATAAGAAACCTCCAAGTTATCTTAATATTTATAACTGCACATTTGCTGATACTGAATGGCTGGCAATGGTAGCAGTCTCAGATGATCCCCAAACTTTTGAGCAAGCAGTCTTAGATGAGAAGTGGAGGGCAGCAATGAAGGCTGAGATACAAAGCATCATCAAAAACAACACTTGGATACTGGTGGACAAGCCAGCAGGAGTGATTCCAATTGGAGTCAAGTGGGTCTTTAGAACAAAGTTGAGGGAGGATGGTTCTATAGACAAGTTTAAAGCAAGACTTGTTGCCAAAGGATATGCTTAGCAGTATGGAGTGGATTACACAGAAGTATTTGCTCCAGTGGCCAGGTGGGATACTATTAGGACTTTCTTAGCTCTAGCAGCTCACCATGGTTTAACAGTATTTCATTTGGATGTTAAAAGTGCTTTCCTACATGGAGAGCTCACTGAAGAGGTTTACATTGAGCAACCACCAGGATTTGTGGTTGCTGGGGAGGAAAGTAAAGTGTATAAGCTGCAGAAAGCCCTGTATGGTTTGAAACATGCACCTAGAGCCTGGTACAGCAGAATAGAGGCATACTTTCTGCAGAATGGGTTTCAGAGGTGTGAATATGAGCATACCTTGTTTGTCAAGAAGTCTGGTGCTGAAGTGCTATTGGTTTCATTGTATGTTGATGATTTAATGTATGCTAGTACAAGTTCAGAGTTGCTTGAGAGCTTTAAACAATCCATGAAGTCTGAATTTGAGATGACAGATCTTGGCAAGATGAAGTACTTCTTGGGAGTTGAGGTAACACAGGCTGCATCAGGAATCTTTATTTCTCAGCAGAAGTATGTGAATGATGTGCTTGAAAAGTTCAAATTGGCAGAATGCAATCATGTTCATAACCCTATGACTGCTGGATCAAAGTTCACCAAAGCTAGAGATGGTTTCCCTGTGAATGCTACAGAATATAAGCAGCTGATAGGGAGTCTGCTCTATGTGACTGCAACTCGACCTGACATCATGTACTCAGTGTGTTTGCTGAGCAGGTTTATGGAGTCTCCTACGAGACAGCACCTTCTTGCAGTTAAAAGAATTTTAAGGTATTTGAAAGGGACAGCAGTGTATGGAATTTGGTACAAAAGATTTGAAGAGGAAGATCAATTGTTGGGTTACACAGATAGTGACTATGCAGGGGATCTTGATGACAGGAAGAGTACTTCTGGTTATGTATTTTTCCTTGCAGGTGGTGCCATTTCATGGTCTTCAAAGAAACAGCCAGTTGTCACCCTTTCAACTACAGAAGCTGAGTTTGTAGCTGCTTCCTATTGTGCTTCTCAGTGTGTTTGGCTTCGAAGAGTGTTGGAACAGATGAATTGGAAGAGCTGTGTAAGAGGAGCAACAAGAATCATGTGTGACAATAGCTCGGCAATCAAGCTTTCGAAGAATCCAGTGTTGCATGGTCGAAGTAAACACATTGATGTTAGATTTCACTTTCTAAGAGAACTTGCAAAGGAAGGAGTGGTCGAACTGCAACATTGTGGAACAAGTGATCAGGTTGCGGATATTATGACCAAGCCACTCAAGTTGGATGATTTTATGCTTCTGCGAAATCGGCTTAGAGTCTATGATGGTGCTGAGTTAGAGTTGAACTGAATCATCCGAGATGTTTCAGTTCAAGGGGAGGATGTTAAAGCTGAAGAAGAAGTCTTGGCGCGAAGTTGAAATATGTTTGAATGTCTAGTTGTGAAACTGTGTCGTACTGTGGCGTGTTGGTCTTTTTAGTTTTAGTCCCTATATTCTGTCTAGAGTCATTTTGAGTCCAGGTTGAGTTTGTGCAGTTGGCTGCACAGTTAGTGGTAGCTGGTTTGTAGGGATGTAGAGATCATGGTGTGTGAGAGGTGGTCGAGTTTGAAGGCGGAAGCAACTCATGTATTTATAGTCTTTGTTTGTTAATAAAGAAACTGTCAAATTGCACTCCATTGGATTTAACAGGAAGAAGGAAGGGGGAGATGAGAGAGTAGAGAAAGATTGAGATTATGTAAATTGATTATTCGAGTGTCTTCTGCGGTTCTTAACACTCCTATTTATATGACAAACAAATTACTAATTGGTATCTAAACTAAATCGGGTAATTAGCGTAAAAGGTCACAAACCTATACATTTTGTACACAACAGTCACAAACCTTTCATTTTGCACGTTTCAATAACATATGTTTAGACTAATAACAAAACGGTAATTCCATCCATCTTCATCCAAAAACCCATTAGTTATGTCCAGTCAATACGCCACGTCACCTAAGATATTAATAAAAAATTAATGACCAAACCAATTGAACCGAAAACCCTAATTCTATACAACCCACCCGAAATCTTGGAGGCATAAACACTGCCGCTTTCCTCTGCGGCTGTACAAAGCGATTCAGCTACTAGAATCGCCGCTAGCCCATAGAAATTCCCCACCGCCAAACGCACCGATCACCTCCCCTGCTTGCATCACCGGACTAAACCAAACACCCGCCATCGTTCGCCCCCTCTTCGCCTGGCATGCTCGCTCGAGGAGAGGTTCGCATATATTGTGTAGGATGTAGAATGCATCCTCTATCCAACCCATGAGAGCTTCCTCGCTGACCCACATGAAATCGAGTTCGCAATCTCTATCTGACAATCAACAACTTCCATGGCAGCAGTAGAAGATTACTCTGCCGTCTTTCGACCAGATAATGAAGCTTCTCGATGGAAGAAAATCGTCATGTTCCTCGACTACGATGGCACCCTTTCCCCATTTTCGAAAGACCTCGATCGTGTTTTCATGTCCAAAAAGGTCCGCCATTTCAACTCCCTAGAAGAACAAAATTGGAAAGATTAAAAACTTTGCTCCATTTTTTCTTCCCTTTCTTTCTTTAGATGAGGACCTATATTAAAAGGCTGGCTAGGTGTTTCCCATCGCCATAATGAGAGGAATATGCAGGGACAAGGTACATTAATGTCGTGCAACTGACGTAGTGGATGGCTGAGATTTCTAGTTATGCGGACCTCTCCTCGGGCGAGCAGGCCAAGCGAAGTGGAGACCAGAAGGGGAAGGCAATTTGTGGCGGGCGTTTGCTTCAAGCCGGCGATGCGATCATGGGAGTCAGATCGACGACGGGGAATTTCTATGGGCAGGCAGAGATTCTAGTAGCTGAATCGCTCTGTACAGCCGCAGTGGAAAGCGGTAGTATTTTTGCCTCAAAGATTCCGGTTGGTTGTATAGAATTAGGGTTTCGGTTCAATTGGTTTGGTCATTAATTTTTTATTAATATCTTAAGTGACGTGGCGTGTTGACTGGACATAACTAACGATATTTTTGGATGGAGATGGACGGAATTACCGTTTTGTTATTAGTCTAAACATATGTTACTGAAACGTGCAAAATAAAAGGTTTGTGGCCGTTTTGTACAAAGTGTATAGGTTTGTGACCTTTTATGCTAATTACCCAACTAAATCCTAATACAACTAAACTCTCATTCATTACAATCCAATCAAAGAGCATCGCAAGAGTTTCCACCGTGAAACAATCAAATCAACATGGCCCGAAATGATTTTGGCACGCCCGGCGGTATTTGGTTTCGCAGGAAACAGAAAGCAAGAAATGCCAAACCTTTTGATGGGTTCAACACAGTATGGCAATGCCATTGTCTCAATGATTTTGTATTTTTTTTCGCTTGGTTAGGGAATTGGGAGCAGTAGAGCTTTTAATTCGAGACAGAGAAGTCGGTTGAGAGAGAGCATTGAACACTTGTCAGCTACTACCCAGTTCATGTCCCCAAAATCCTAATCTCGCACCAAAAAATGTAGACAACATATTCCATAGTGTGGGCAGAGAGAGAAGGGAAAGATGATGGTGACTGGTAAGTTATAATGCGAGCTTTTCTTTTCGCCTATTTTCCATTATTAGCTCTCGGGTTTGTTTGGCTTGTGGGTTGGATGAGAATTTGAGATGAGATTGAAACTAGATGGGGAAATCTGGCTCCGTTTCTCTGTTTGATCTCATTGTCGTCTTGGTTTCATAATTTTGTTCAAAGAAGTGTAGATAAGAGAAAAAATGGCTCAATTGTATGCCCCTTCTGCTACTGATGATAAGCATCAATGGTATGTATGTATGTATGGCATTCGGGTTCTTCAATGGGATTTTGTTTCTTCTTCTGCTGTCTAATTTCATACCGCCTCCTTATTGTTCGATGAAATGCCCCCAAACGAGGGGTTTTTTTTCAATTTCTCTGGCTCTGTTTTCTCCCTTACAGAAAAATGTCCTTACATGTGTTTTTATTCCAACGAAGAATTTATTTTATTTTATAAAATTCCAAATAGAATTTTGTAGCTATGTTCTATATTTGTTTTTGAGTTTCTATTCCTTCAATATGTTCCTAACTGAGAGAGTCTGCAATGTGTAATAAAATTCTAGGATGGAGGGTTCACAAGAGAACAGCAAAATCGCAGTCCTAAAACATCAAGGAGAATTTGTAAATAAACTCAAGAAGAAAGCAAACTCAAAGATGTCATCTTATTCCTCTGCTCATGGTATGTGTTTAGTTACTATACTCCTGGCGTCAAGTTCATCATGGTATACAGTTGCTTATGCTTGGAAATTGTTGGTCCATTTTATACCAGACCTGAGGAACTTCGCTATGGAAAAGGAGATACAAGATGTTTCATCTCCAAGAGGAGTGATAGAAGCCTGCTTGAACGGATGGGAACCTGATTCCGAAGCCAGCAATCAGGAGTTGCAAGTATCTAAACAAGCACACTCAAAGACACATTCTCACTGGAGAAAATTCTTCAAGGTGTGGAAGTTGAGACCGGTTAAGCGTCTAACCGCATTAGCCCATCCGACTATGCCGAAAGCTCCAAGGAGGAGCAGGAGCGTGAGGGAGAATCCCGTGCTAAGGGACCTCTACAATTTTAAGTCTTCACTCAGGAACTTTACATATCCTGAACTCAAAGCTGCAACTAACCATTTCAGCAAAGGTGGGTTTTTCATGAGTTGTTTTCATATAGTTTGCTCTCTTCAGCATTGATTGAGAAGGTTGTGATTTTACCCATCTTAGATAACTTAATTGGGAAGGGTGGATTTGCTGAGGTTTACAAGGGTCGTTTGGCGGATGGAAATCTGGTAGCAATCAAGCGCCTAACCAAAGGTACAAACGAGGAAAAGACAACAGGGTTCCTGTCTGAGATTGGCATTCTAGCTCATGTGGATCACCCCAACACCGCTAAGTTACTCGGTTGTGGCGTTGAAGGAGGGATGCATCTCGTCTTTGAGTTGTCTCTTTTGGGGAGTTTAAGAACAGTTCTTCATGGTTTGTTTCCAATTATCTTTTGTTGCTACATTTATGAAATGTCATGGAGTGATTACTGATGACTTATTTGTTCAAAAACAAAATGCATGCAGAATCAGAAGTCAAGCCTGAGTGGAGTAAGAGATATAAAATTGCTCTGGGAACATCAGATGGCATATTGTATCTTCATGAGACTTGCCGGAAGAGAATCATTCATAGAGATATAAAGGTTGACAATATCCTTCTTACTGAGGATTTTGAGCCACAGGTATCTTTCGAGTTGTGCTTGAGTAAAACCAACTGCCAGATGAAGAACTCCAACATTTCCCTCTAATTATGTTTTAACTAAGAAAATCTGAAACTAGCAAATGTTAAGAGAATTTTAGTGCAGGCAGCCCAAGGATTCTCTAGCTTCTGCTTGCTACGATGAGTTAGTACTATAGGCCGTCTGTTTAATAAGATCATACAAATACACTACTTAGGTGGTAAGACATATGCTTGTTTCTCATCAGTTCATTAGTCCGATTATTACTCATCCGTAGACAGAAATTGGTATTACAACCTTGCATGTGCTGAATTGCTCTTCCGTTTGGCTAGGAGAGTGAGAAGTTCCACAGCTTTTACTGTCATACTTGACCTTTATAGGAAAGATTATAATGTTAGCTGTAGTACAGCTCCCTTCTCACCATAACTGCCTTTCACCTCTATTTGAGTTGTTAATTTCTGTGAATTATCTTCCTTGTTAATTGATTGTTCAATCCAGATATGTGATTTTGGGCTAGCGAAGTGGCTACCAAAGCAGTTGTCTCACCATAATGTGTCAAAGTTTGAAGGAACATTTGGGTTAGTATAGCAAAAGCTTCGATCTCTTCTTGTAGTAAGTGATCCAGCTCGTTTGGCTTTTAAGTTTTAACTACTTGTCTCATTGTTTGAACTTTGCAGATACTTTGCCCCTGAATATTTCATGCACGGCATAGTCGATGAGAAGACAGATGTTTATGCCTTCGGGGTCATACTCTTGGAGCTCATAACTGGACGAAGAGCTGTTGATGATGCACAGCATAGCCTAGTGATTTGGGTAATGTTTTTTCAGCCATAAGCTTGCCGAACTCCCAATATCAATCATTATTATGCAGCAGAGCATGTAAAAAGGCAATGGGTGTACTTGCAGGCAAAGCCATTGCTAGACAACAATGATCTCGCGGAACTTGTCGACCCTTCTCTTGGTAAACACTACGACTCAGAGGAGATGGATCGCTTGGTTTTGACAGCCTCTTTGTGCATTGAGAATTCACCCATCCTCCGTCCTCGTATGAGTCAGGCAAGGACGCAAAAACGAAAAACCTTATTTATCTGGCCCCATTTCCATGCTAGTCCTACTATAGTACCAGAGTTGTTTTCATCTATGCCCTACTGATAAACTCATCATCCTTGTTCATCATGAACCAAAATCAAGTTGAATGCTGATGATGCACAACGAATGGCATTATTCGTTTATATTTCTCTCCATTATTGCAGGTCGCCATACTGCTGAGAGGCGACGAGTACGCATTGGAATGTGCTAAGCAAGATCATAAGCGAGCCCTCCATAGGACATACTCTAACGAGCTGTTAGATGCGCAAGAGTACAACTCTACCAAGTACTTGAGCATAAGGGATATCAATCGACTCAAAGAGATTGCTTTTAGTCCTTGAAACCCAGTTCAAGAAGAAACACAGAAGAAGTGTTTCGGAGGCAGACAAGGTGGTCCTGTAGCAATAAGTTGTAGCATTTGACGACAAGAAGAGTTGTGTTCCAAAGAAAAACATTTGCTTTACGGGGAACTTGAAGTATTGGTATGGGCTTTAACCAAGCAGTACATATGAGTGTGTTAGGTTTAAATATCGATCTAGAATAGTTGGATGATTTTTTCTGTAGTCCACCTATGCCCAAAGTATCTCTGCCGAGTTATATGTTTTTCTCCTGAAATCATGATCTATTGGTGCATCTCTTTCTACCCCTTTCCTTTGCCTTCGCTATTTGAGAAATCCAGAGTGCAGACTTTTCCCTTTGCTTTTGTCTTCTTCCGAATTTAGTGGATTAGTAATGAGAGTTTGGTGGATGTGTTTCCTCGGGAAAACCCAAATACCACCGCCGATACCGAATTTGTTTCCGGCGATGTTGATTTGATGTTTCGCGACATAAACTTTTGCAGTGTCGTTTGATCGGACGCACCACCGAATGTTGAAATGAACGTGACCGTCAAATATCCACCACCGGGCGTCGGGCGATGTTGATTTGATCGATGCACCTTTGAATGCTGAAATCAACGTGAACGTCAAATATCCACCGCCTAGCGATATTGATCTGATCGATGCACCTTTGACTTCTAACCAAGAACGATCGTTACTCGGTTCACACCTCTCCAAACAATGTTCGAACGAGAGTGTTTGAGTTTTTGGGGAGAGCTCCGCAAGGGAGTTACAAAGAAGAAAGGTAAAGTTTGACAAATGTGTTCCTGTGTTGATTTTGGTTCTCCTCTCTCTCCTTGCACTAGTGATTTTATCTGAAATCACTTGCGTAGTCTTCACGCCCCGTGGAACTGCTTCCTCAACCGCTCCGTCGTGAACTCCCACGTGTCTTCACTCTTCTCCACAGAGTCGTAGTCTTCAACCACTTTGATCTTCTCTTCACTCCCGACTCTCCCGTGCAAGAAAATAACTCTGTTATTTTCATGAGCCCGCGACGTCGTTTAGGCCTCCACCAACAAAGTTTCCATAACGACATCGTTGAACCCATTCACGACATTGCTCAGCTTGCAACACCGTCAAGCTCACTACGTCGTTGAGCTCCACGATGTTGTTTTGGCCTTGCGGCATCGTTGAATTTCTCGGCGTTGTCGAACTCGCAACACCGATGACTTTGTGACCACGACATCAATTCCGTTGCGTTGTTGTTTAACTAGCGGCATTTTTAGCCTCGATACACCGAATCAATTTAATATTTCACGTACCGCAGCATTGTCGGGCTTACTTGCGGTGTGGTTTTCTTCCCCAAATAGCTCTGTTTTCTTTTTCACTCCACGACATTGTTTTATATTAAACACTGTTGTTTTCTAATCCGCAGTATTGTTTTCTCTCGCGGCGTCGTTTTTAGCCAAACAACACCGTCTAAAATAATTATTGAATAGATTAATTAATTAAACTGGCTCATTATTGTCACGCGGTCAAATTCTCATCCCTCGGCGCCGTTTAATCTTTCCGCGGCATCGCTTTTTACTAATCGATGCGACCTTGAATTGCTTCGTCCCGGTCCCATCGAACAGTGTCTTTTTTCATTCCGCAACATTGTTCTCTACCAAACGGTACCGTTATTCTCGTTTTCGGTGCCGTTGGGCTTGTCGGGCCTCGCCAAAATCCAACCCGTTGTGGTATGGTTTCTAACTAAACGGTATCGCTTAGTAATATCTTGGCGTTGTTGATCCCTTAAACAATGTCGTTTTTAGCTAAACAGTACCGCTTGATTATACCCGTGACATCGTTTTATTATTAAACGACTCAACTTCCAGCCTCGCGGTATCGTTTTCTTCCCCAATCATCTCTGTTTGTTTTTTCCTCCGCGATACCGTTTATTGTCGTTTACTAGTACAGCGGCACCGTTGGGCCTACTCGCGGTGCCGTTTTGAATTAAACCATACCGCCTAACATACTAAAAAGAAATACCAACGTATTAAATTGTCGCGATCTTGCACGTTTGGGCTGGGCGGATTTTTGGGCCAGTCACTTACCCGATATGGTTTCTAATTAATCGGCACCGCTTATCAAGGCCTCTCGCGGCATCGTTTTTAAATCCGCAATACCGTTTTAATTCTCCCCGGTACCGTTTTAATTCTCCGCGATGCCGCTTTTCTCCATGCGGTATCGCTTCTCTCCTTCCGACAATGAATAAAAATAATAATAATAATAACTCCTTTTCCAACACCAATACTACGTGCGTGGCCCCCATCTTGTTTTTTGGTAAACAGTGTCGTTTCCAGTGCCGCGGTACCGGTGAGCTTCCTTGCGGTACCGTTTTTCTAATCCGCGGTGTCGTTGGGTTTATTCGCGGTGCCGTTTTTAGCCAAACGACACAGTTTCCCAGTCTCGCGATGCCGTCGAGCTTTGAGGTTCGCGGCACCGTTTTATCTCTTCGCGGCATTGCTTGCCTCCAAACGGTGATGTTACTCTCCTCCTCCGACAAGGAAAAAAATAAAATAAAAAAATTCCTTGTCCAACAGCAACACATGTCTTGCGCATGACTCACACATGGTCTGCAACCAATGTCGTTTCAAGTACCGCGGTACTGCCGAGCCTCTTCGCGGTCTCTCTTAAATTCTCTACGGTATTGCTCGACTCCAAACGACATCGTTTTGGCCATGCGATATCGAATTAAATGCCGAGACTCATTATTACGGCATTGAATTTAGGCTAAAAATATTTTAGGTGTAAACAGGATGCCTTGTCTATTGAAATACTTTGTTGGAGAATGGTGGCCTTCCTTGCGGAATGTAATTATGGGATAGGGAAAATTTGTGCTAAGGAAAATTCTAGAACACAAAGTTATGGCCTTCCAAAGTTTGGCAAATTCTAAAAATTGTTTGTTTGGGATAGCAAACAACGTTTTTTTTCATGATGAAGGCATAATCTATTCGCCTTTGGATGTTTGCGGCTTGCAAGATCTCGAAAAATTATGCTGAATAAAAAAGATTCACTATGATCGGATAACCGCTTTTGACAGCCACGATGAACCATTCACCGCTTTTGACGGCCGCGATGAACCTTTCACCACTTTTGACTTCCGCGGTGATGCTCTTCACCGCTTTTGACGGCCGCGGTAAAGCCAAACATGAGTATATTGGAAATGTTTCATAAAATGTGTGTATTTTGCAAAAATAAAAATAAATAATAAGAACGTGTATACTTTGAGAAAAAAAACCGAGTTTGGCGGATGCCTGGTGTGTTGAAATGCTTTTATTTGGGAATGGTGGGTCTTGATTGCACAATGTAATTATGGGGATAAGGAAAATTCTTTACGATGAAGAATATGAAAATTATGTACAATGATAAATCTATATAAGAAAAAATTCTATACAATAAAAACTTTGTATATTTTTTTTGTACAAATGAAATTATATATAGTAGAAATTATGATAAGTAGAAATTATGTACAATGAAAATGTATAAGAAAAATTTTATTTATATATATATATATATTTATATATATAGGAAATTCTGTAAAATGCATTCAACACTTTCACAAAATACGAACATGATTTTACTCAAACATATATTAGAGTGTATATTATCTTGTAAATGAAAATAAATATGATTTTTCTGTTCAAAATATTTGATTTCCTAATTAAAACATAATAGATAAGAGATGTAAGAGAATATAGTAAATCTAGGAGGAGAGAGAAATATAAAAATAAGGAAGTGTGATCCGGTGCATTCTTTTGGATTTCGAAAATGCTATTCTTCTATTACCATCTATTGGGTCTATTTATAACGTTATTTCCCAACCTTTTTGTTTTATCACTCAAATCAAATAGCTATAATTATTTTTTACCGCTGTCAAAAGGTGTTATTTGTTCCACCATAAAGGAACTCAAGGAAGTATTACCAAATTTTGTAGCATCATGGCCAGAGTATACAAGGTCTAGTGACTCGCTAGCACTCCAACACTATCCAACTGTAAGTGAAGTGCAACCTATAATCGGGTGTAGTATAGGATAAATATTTCAATATCAACTCGAACGGATTATCTATCCTTGTTAAGAGTTATTGAGGGTAATTGGGTCATTTTATTGCCCATTAAATGACCATTTAATAGTAACTTAGACGGAATGCTATATTTGTTACGTTTTAATAGTAAAAGGGTATTTTCGTTCAAAAAATTAGTAGAATGGTACATTTGTTAATTTACAATAATAGAAGGATAAATAATGTTAGGACTTTGCTATGGTGACTTGCAAGTCATCGTGACTTGGACAAACGGTCGACCTCTTTGAACAAAATGGCCGACCTGTTTTACTGGAATGGTCGACCAAATGTACTATTTTCCATTAAGCAATGTTCAACAAAAGGTCGACCACTTCTACTAAAAGGTCGACCACTTTATAAAAAAATGGTCACTTCTATCAAGCGGTATACCACTTACACTAAGTGGTCCACCGCTTTCCATAACCGGTCAACAACCATTGTTAGTGATTTCATCATATATAATTAGCGTCCGATAATAATATATATATTCTAGTAAGAGAGTTAAAATTATTACAAAGTATAGCGAATAGATGGCAAGTTTCTTGAGTGATTGTTCTCCCGTAGATATGAAAAACGTTCTATATAATAAATTCTAAGTTTTCTTGTTTTTATCATATAGTTGGTTTGCGATAGATCAACTTTGTTGCTAATGTTGTTATGAAGATGTTCAAAAGGTGGAGTATAATTGTTATACAATTGTGTCATCTTCAAAGTCAATAAACTCATATCATCTTGCTCTTGGGATTTTTATACCAAAACTGTTAAGAGAAGGTGTTGTTTCTTTTTTCTTGGCCTATAATCTGCGTAGGAATTTGGTTGCCCACAAGTGATAGGATGTTGCATTACTACAAAACAATTTCGTATTGTAGGTCTCCTATTATCCATTATTTTCTTATGTAAGTATAAGATAACTTTGTCCTTTGGGTGACCGTTCGTGAAAGCGAAGATCGTTCGCTAGAATATATTTTATTTGAAGATATCCCATAAGAAACTGAACAACCCTTCGAGCAGCCAAAACAAAAGAAAAGAAAGACTGCTAGCAGCCTCGCTCTTTCATCCGTTGATCGAATTGCCAGAGAGAAGAAAGTAATTCTCATCCTCATGTGGTGGTTACGATTCAACCTATCTTTTTTTTTTAATACCAAAAAATCACTCCACTTTCTCTCGTTCTTGTTATAGTATGATGAAAAAGCTCTCAAGCCTCCTACGGGAAACTAAAAATTTAAACCATTTTGCGGAATCGATATATTATTTTAGTGGAAGCTGTCAACCTCCTTTAACAAGCGG